CCCCAAAACCCCAAAACCCCAAAACCCCAAAACCCCAAAACCCCAGGTGGCAATTAGTAATTGTTATTATTAAGAATCTTTAAATAAAATGACTAGTAACTCTCTCTGAGAAAGAAGTGTCGGTTTGCACTTAAGTGAAGATTGCAAAGAGTTTAGGACATCTTTAAAAATGCCTCAAGGTAGAATATCTATTGCTTTAGCAAAGCAATGGAAAGTTAGAAAAGAAATTTATTGTGGCAGGAGCTCAAGATTAGAGATTTTATTTGGTTGAACAGTGTCTGAACATTGTTATATAGAGTATAACCATCTTGAAGAAGAGATTGACGAGTCAAAGATTAACACAAGCTCATATATGTAAGTTTATACATCAATAATTGATTTTTCTCAAGGCCAGATTATTAATTCATTGTAAACTTTGTTAAACAGAATACCATAACACATTTTCTATAGGAAGCTGAATGCGACTTAGGAGAAATTAAAAGTGTTATCTCAAACACAATGGCTGTCCAAAATAGAGTTATTGAGAAAGATTTGAATGAAACTGAGTAATCCAGATGGTAAGTTTAGAAGAACAGCTCTAACTTTAAACTTTTAATGACTTAAGGAAATCTCAACCATGTAGGTTGGAGGAGAGATTCTTTGAACCAGTCTTATTAACACCCTAAGATTACCAAGATATGAATGAAAATTTTGGTATTTTTTATCTTAGAGGTTTTCTAGATCCTTCATCAAAGATTCAAGTCAAATCCAAAGATGAGGTGTACTAATGAGTCAAAGAAATTTTCCAGAACTGTAAAGATATAAGATAATATCTAGTTGTATACTTGGGAGCTAAGAAACATTCTGCTAGCTGTTCCATAAAGTTCATGGCTTTCTGAAAGAAGAAACTGAGGTTGATGGTGACAAGAAGTTCCAGGGGCTCCTCGCTTTTGCCAATAATGTCAAGAAGTTAGAGGATGTTCCCATTAGTTTGATTAATAAAGTTAAGAAGGTTATTGAACAATCTGAACAGATTCAATATGAAGATACCCCAGGATCAGGATTCTTCAAAAAGTAAGAAACACTTAAGAAATTATTGATGAGCGAATCAGGCTTTAACTAGATAAATATAGATTTGATTGATTTAAAATAGCAAAGAGGGATGTCCAGAAGGCTTATTGATTCTTTAAATTTTGATAAATCACAAATAGATAGGGAGATGTATGAGTATCAATGTGCAATGTCGGAGAACTATAATTCTGAGAATCATTTACTCCAAGCATCCAAAACTTTAGATACTAATAATAGTTGATATTAATGATTTCAATAATATCTATAGTTTCGAGCAAAATGGATGAATCCAAATAGCATTTGTACCACGAAAGTATGCTAGGATCCAAGCCAAATTTCTTTGATTTTTTTGAGAAGATTATTTCAGACTCAGTTAAAGAATATGAAATGTCGAGCGAAAGTGATACTTCATAAGCAACTCTTCTTATAATTCCGAGGGATTCCCATCCTATCTTTCCTATAGCTCAGAGATACACCCTATCACATTCATCCCATTTTTGACTTACCCAACTGCTGCTGAAGAGTAAAAAAGCAAAAAAGATTGCTCAGACCCCTCTAATTCCACCAGCATCTCCCCAATAGAAGAAGAGGGCAAGATCATGGATATAGTTTTCTCTAATTTCAAATATGACAAATCCATATCTAAGAAACTGAGAGGTATAAATTTCATTAAAAATTAGGAAACCACTATGCATTCGGCAAGAACCTACACCAGCTTCTGCTTCTACCTCGAAGGATTCTGAGTCTACAAGGAACCCAACTCACTAACGTCTAGATTTGAGGAGATAAGATTGAGGCACATTCAAGATGTAAAGAGTCAGAAATGGAAGACTCTCTTTTGTTTGTTGGGTAGAGTAAGACGTTTAGTGCATTATTTTAATTTGCATTTAGAGTTCTGCCTCTTGGATTAGAAGAAGTGATGATATTTATACAAAATAATCTTAATTTCTTAAGTGCAGATAAAAATTAGATCTTAAGATTATAAAACTGAACCCTGGGGTTTTGGGGTTTTGGGGTTTTGGGG